CACTCTTTATATTTCAGTTGGCTACTCAACAGTCGCAATAAACTATGTGGTTGAACCACAACAGAAGAAGCAGGTATGATATAAAGTAGTTAGACTAACGTGTACACTTTAAGAGAGTTCATGTGATGATGCTCTTATTTTCTTGTATTACAGGAAATTCCTAAGCCACAGAATGTGTCCGACATATTTGATAAATTCCCAGTAGTACAGGTAAATTACTTTTGCATGTTTCCAGAGCATACTTACCCATGATTGATACTTTTAATGATTTTTATCTGCTTTCTTTTCATAGGGCAAATCTTCTCCCGTCAAAGTACTGAATCGATTGACCATCATAGCCTCTGATGCTTCTCATTTTGTAAGTTGCAAGTTTATCATGAAGAAACTAAACTGTAAGACATTTCTGCTACCGTTTTATTTATATGGTGAAATTTGTGTTATTCTCTTCAGAGACCAACCAATGAATACAAAAGCTTTGACCTTGTGGCAGTATATCCCAAGACAGAAAAACTCTTTCATGTAAGGGAAATTGCAATTCTGAATTAGCTTGAATGTTTTCCAGTTAGTAGTATTATTTTCTTTACATATCGATGACAACCAACAGTTGTGATATTAAAGATTCTTTATATTTTTCCTCATCTCTGTCAGGCAGCCTGCATGACTTTTGATGTGGACATTATCTGCATTGCAGTGGCTGAAAAACAGCCCTTCCATTTTAAAAGGGCTCCAGTTAATGGGGTGAGTTATAAAGTTTTGTATCCATACCTACCAGCGTACCAGTTGATTTTAAGTAGCACTGGGGCATTTATAGAACTTGGCAACTAAAATTACAATGTTGTGAATATTACAATGAGGTCCTATAAAGGAATATTCCACACCAAAATTAAAAATTTAATGGACCACTTTTATGATACTATCATGGTGCTTCTGCATTCTTTTCAAAACTCGACAGCACAAGTCTCTCATTTTTATTATATATTTAAAATCTGACCTTTTAATGCAGGTTTGAAACAACACGAGGGTTAATAAATAATGGTAATTTAGGGGTGAGCTATCCCTTTAAATTATGTATCATCACTATTATATTGTTGGTCACTTCAGGCTATTGACAGGGGAGTTTTCTTTGAGACATGTTATGCGGCAGCCATCAGAGACACGACTATGAGGAGATACACCATTGCCAATGCCATCAGCCTCATGGAAGTCTGTAAAGGAAAAGTATGTTGTCCCTTATTACACTTAAACACCCTTAAAATGTGTTAAGCTGATTCTGAAATTACATTTATTTTTCTCACAGAATATCATAGTGTCCAGTGGAGCAGAAAGAGTAAGTTATGTAAATTGATATATCATTTCAGTGTTATTGTATTGTATGGTCAGTATGACATTGTTGTCTTCTTTTCCTTAGCCTCTTGAGTTGAGGGGCCCATATGACATTGCCAATTTGTATCCTTTTTTAATTTGTGTATAAATAAGTTGAAACAATATGTCATGGTACTTCTGAAAAGCATTGTATGTGTGTTGATATGTTCCTTCATTGAGATTTCAGAGGGCTTTTGTTCAGCCTGTCTGAGGGAGATGCCAAAGCTGCCGTTTCTACTAATTGTCGATCTGTCTTGCTTCATGGAGGTAAATGACTGACAAGAGCTCAACTATTTCCCATTTCTCCAGTACAGGCAAAATCTATGCCACGTGCTCTTGTTTGTTGTTAGATTTCTAGTTGATTTGCTGAGTATGCATTTATACCAATGTGCATGAGAAAGGTCTTATTGTTCAGTCTTATCTCTTTGACATTAGATGTAAAATGTTCTATGAATGTTCATTGGTAATTTTCATGATTTTTAAAACAGAGACGAGAGCCACTGCATCTGGTGTTGTTTACACCATGAAGAAACCAAAAACTCCCCAGAAGCAAGAAGAAGAATCTCCAATATCTAAAAAGGCCAAAACTGAATTAGCATAGCCAGTATTCCAGCATTCATGTGTTACGTTTTTTATTTTTTCAAAATGAAGGTTAATATTCCCAGAATCCCTTTTCCTCAGTCTTGCAATCCACTTTGAATAAAATAATACAGATATTTTAAAATTACATTTATTTAGTCGAGCTTTAAAGGAATTGCAAGCAAAATTTACAGATGCATGTACAGATAATAAACGGATAGTATAAAATTGCTCATCTCACAAGTGCATTCTGTAATAAATTACCATTTAGAATATCAAAAAAACACCACAATCATGCTCTCACTAAATCTAATCTCAGCAGTAGAGCTTTTTCAGACAGTGCATTTACATGTGAAGAGGATCGAAGCTCTATGTTCCATTAAGTTTCTCATTCCTTTCTGCCTTATTTATGCTTTAACAGGGTGTCCGCGGGTCCTTAAAAAGTCTTAAATAACGTTTTCCTAATATAAGGCCTTAAAATGTCTTAAATTCCGATTCGATGGGTCTTAAATATTTTTGGTCTCATTACCGCTAAAATATCTCCAGTCTGACGGACCTAATGACTTTACAATCATTGGACAGACCGACCCGCGGTAAGTTACTGCGTCATCAGAGAGAATTGCAGTAAGTTAGCAGAATACAAGCTCGCGCTGCTGAGGCTCACTCCGTTTGTCTCGAGACTTCAGAACAAATGAGCGTGACCGCACACATAAACTCAGAGGAAACACACTGAGGTAAAAATTCAAAATGTTTAGTTTATTCATAACATGATATAGTTAAATAACACCATGACAAGTGAGCTATTTTACTCCATATTCTCACGATGCAAAAAAAACATTCTAAACAGCTACAGAGTGCACGGCATTACGCGAAGTCTAGTGCGCATGCGCATTTGCAGTGCGCTCTGCCTGATCACTGCATGATTCTGTCTATTAAAATACATTCAGAATGATAACAAATTCAAGACATGGGGGCAGAAAATGTGTATATTTATACTCAAGTTCACACGGAAGAGTCCTTTTTTTTCTCCAAAAATTACCATATACAAATGTGATATTGATTTTTTACAACAGTTCAATAAACTAGAAGTTTTATTAAGAGACTTACGTTTTAGACACCATATTGCCTGTTTTTGCACTATTTCGCCAACAAAAATAATTCCAAACAAAGCCATTGCACTGTTTTGCGTCTCTGAGCAACACGACGGTGTTTCGATCCCGAATGAATCACTCGTTTAAATGATTCGGTTCAATCGCAATGACTCAAATGATTCGGTTCAGTTGCAATGACTCACTTATTAACTGTGACTTACTGCCACCTACTGGCGGTTTTAATTTCACATTTAAAGTATCTTTTAATTTTTTAAATTATTTCAAATATCAGTATTCAATGTTTTATGTTTAATATATCAAAACATTATTTATGCATTTGTAACTGCAGGTTAAATGCATTCATGTCCTGCATTAAACAGTGTGTAAACACATCTAAATGCCACTTCAGATGCAGCTCATATCTGGATTGCAAAGATGAATTTTGTTGATACTGATTTCATTTGCTTGGTAACAGCCCAAATGTCTTATTCTTATTCACTGATTAAATGTAAGAATTTGACTCAAAAGATAATGCACACTTATAGAAAAATGGCTTTATAAAGGTAAAATGCCCATAAAAGGTAAAAATCTATTTAAACTTATCTGACCACCACACAGAATATGAAGAATATCAAAAACTTTAGGAGTCAGCTGTCCACGAAAGTCCTTAAGATACCAGCATGATAACACACTCAATCAGCTGAATGAATGACTCAATACTCACTCATTAAGTGATGCATTTCCCCCCTCAACATTTCTTATTTGTATATTCATAAATGCATTTAAAACATTAATCTCATAACATTATTTATTGCAGTTGTAATTATTGTTATTTGCAGTGTAAATTATTTAATCTGACTGGTAGCAGCCCTATAGTGTATATTGAATTTATTGATCAATTGTAATAATTTGATGTAAGATGTAAGATGATGCATACATCTGAAAAGGTTAAAAATAGGCCTTTGTAAAGGTAAATATGCAGATTTAAGTATGTAAAAGCTGATAGAACACTGATGAAAATTGTTTCAGAATAAATTGTTTACTCCACCAAAAATCTTATATTTTGTATGGAATATTGTCTGCTGACATGAAAAGTTCACTGTATATCTGTATACTGTATATATAATACCATTTATTACAGCATTGATATTTTGTTTTCTTTTTAATTTATACACATTAAATATTACATATATGTATGTAATAAAATGTGTATTTCCATTACAGGTTTAGGTCTTAAATTTCATAAGGTGGTATTAAAAAGGTCTTTAAATTTAACTTGTTCAAGTCTGCAGAAACCCTGTTTAATAAAAAGTTAAAGTACTGTGCTTCAATTTCCAAAACTGTCGTATAACTTTTCCTTTTAAAAAAAGGTGTAATGTCATGCAGGGCTCAGTAGTATACCTTCCTTAGATATCAGATTCTAATTAGCAGGCAATCTAAAAATGCAGGGTTTTGAGTGTATTATGCTCAAAGCGGTCCAATGGTGCTTATGTATCGCTTCTACTTTTTCCATCCTTAAAGCTGTCAAAGATGGTTTTAGCTCCATTCTGCCACTCGCAAGCACTGTCAATTGGTGACTTTTCCTCCTGGAGAAGACAAATCGGCAGTAACGGTAACCAAGCAAAACTGATCCTGAGCCTTGGCATGGCTACTAAAAGTTATTTTGGAGAGCTGTTTCCACACTAAAAGTAATACGTTTACATAAGTACCAGAAGATGGCACTGTGCACAGCTTAAAAAAGTATCCCAGTGAAATTTAGTCAACATGAGGCATGAAAATTGATTTCCTACATGTAAATTAAATGAGCATTTATTAGTATCTACAGCCTAATATATGAGCAACAGGATTAAAGTATATAGGCTAAACATTACATTTGTCATTTACTTACACAATTCTTGAGTTTTAAGTCACCTCCGTGCAACAGAAGAAGCTGGATGAGCTTGAAGCGATTCAGTCTGACCGCATCATGCAGTGGTGTGTCACCCTCCTAATAAAGAATGACATTTAAAGTGACCATTAAGGTGTTGATTAACTTTATTTAATGACTGTGTTGCCAAATGCCTTACTATGTCTTTTGCATTGATGTCTGCGCCACATTTCGAGATAGTGAATTGGTGGGTTTTTGTTAAATGTGAGCCAAAATCATCACAATTAAAAGAACCAAAGACTTAAACTACTTCAGATTGTGTGCATTGAATTTATTTAATACACAAGTTTCACAATTTGAGCTGAATTACTGAAATAAATGAACTTTTCCACCTGTATGCCACCTATTCCATAAGAACTAAGCAGTTTAGCATAATCTTTCTTTTTTAATCCGTTTGTTAAAATATAAAAACAAAATCATGTGGTGCAACCAACATGCAGAAAAAAAGGAAATGAGATCTCAGTGAGGACCCTTGCATACTTCCATGACATGTCAAGATCAATAAGGCTCAAAAATTATATTTATGAATTAATTCATAAAAAAATAACAATGTGAATAAAAGATGTATGCATTCATGTGCATTTAAGGGTTAAGGAAAATGTTGCTACTTTTAGCTTGATGGTTACACCAGTTGCATTTTTAATCATTTAATAAAAAAAATTATTGAAAATGGTATAAAACAGTAGATTTCTATATTAAAACCTGGCATATGGATTTTAAGATTGCATTTAAAATGTTTTCCTTGTCTTTATCTTGCATGCTCTTTCTCAAGTATTAATGTTTGAATTCATAGAAAATCTAAATGCACAAATATATTGAAGTATTATGTAAACATTATTCATTACCTTGTCTTTATTTTCAATGGAAGCACTGGCTTCCAGCAGCATTTTCACAATTTCCACTTTCCTTGTGAGCAAGTTCTGTGTAAAGCTGTACGGTTGAACTAGACAAAAAATATATGCATTTTGTCTTTAAGTCCTTTAAGTGCTGTCAGGTGCCTTATTCAATATGTTGGGTAAACACTCACATTATCATGGGCATTTGGGTCCGCACCTCTAGCGAGGTAACTCTTGACCACTGGCAATTTATCATCCAGTGCTGCCTTCAGGAAGTCATCCTCATCGACAAAATCATTCTGTGAGACAAAACAATCTCTTGTTCAGGCTAAGTTTTGTAGACTGGTATACTTGTTTTTATCTTCTGACTCTCTTCTAAAATCGCCTAGAGGTCATTAGTGCTGTTGTCAGGCTGCAAAATCATTCAAATATGCTAAAGAAAATGCTTCTAATCACATATGCTTGCTGAGGTATGCAGATGAATACTTAAACCTATATCTTACATTAAAACCATTTAAAATGGCTTCACTGTCACATTGAAGGTTATAAGTTTTCATACGATGGTCAACAGAGCTTTTGCATTCTTCAGAAGGATGCTGTGCCACAGTGTTGTCCTGCTCTTTGTTTCCACTTGTCATGTCTGTAACCTAAAATAACATAAAAATAGAACACATATACAGTATATTTTAGACCAAAGACTTTCTTCTGTGGCACACAAAAGACCAAATTTTAAAGAATGTAATGTTGGTAATTAAACCATTTGGTTTAATCATCAACTTGCATTGTATGGACCAAAAAAAAAAGAAGATATTTTGCAAAATATTTTTGTGTTCCACAGACGAAAGGCCTATGCAGGTTTGAAATGACATGAGATTGTTGGGTGAACTATCCCTTTTAAAACACTAGTGACCATTTTAAAATAGTAAAAGTTCAGTCTAGATATATAGGCAAAAGAAGTATCATATTTAAAGGAATATAATCTTTCTCTATTCATATTCACCAAGCAGTTGAAGTAGAGGATTTTGTCTTGAAATATTTCAAATTATAGCATAAGTAGGCCCGTTATTATGCTTTAAAAGGTAACAGGAGCCCAGGACCTAAAAATCCAAGATGCACAAAATAAACTGAAATCTTGAACCAAAAGCATAAATGAAACGATTTAAAATGCATAGTGGAAATATAACTAAAATGAATTGCTTTTTAAATAGACATTTAGAAACAGACATGGAAGCCTCTACCAGCTCATCGTCCTGTAGGATTCCCATGACTTTGCTTGAAAAGGCATCAGAGCCAAGCATCACTTATATACTGTATGTGGTGGTGACAGTTAAAGGAGATCATGCTCCTGTTGTTCAGCTGACTACTCCCACCTCTCAGGTTTTCCACGTCACTGTGATGTCAGATGCATTTTGAATTGGGCTG